CTACCCATTGTGGAAGCCAAGGGATTTGTATGTAGCCATTTTGACCTTTCGGTTAGCCTAACTTATGCTAACTCTGAGACCTAACAGCGCCGAGTACTGTGAGAGACGCTGCTTTCGTCTCTCGTCTCTCTTGTGCTTGAGATAAGGATAGAATGCTGGCTCTAGTGAAGACCTTGAGATAAGGTGGCGTCTGAAGGGAATTGTTATGGAAAGAGGAATAATTGTTTATTGTTATTATATATAAACAGACAGTAGATATATTGGCTTCTAATTGTTTTGTATTTGACGATCTGCCTAGCAGCAGCTTCTTCCCTTACAATATCGCTCAAATAAACTGTCTCTGACTGCTTGTTGCTTACAAACCCAGAGTGAAGGCCTGTTTTCTTCCACGTCATTTAGGGCCTAGTATTTTGTCCACATGAAGGGATTTATACACTGTGATTAAGCTTCTTGATAAACTGAACAGGCTGAGCTTTGTGAACCTCTCACTTCAGCACTTGCATCATTTCTGTGGCTCCTTCCTGCACCCTCTCCAGTTGCTCAACATCCTTTTCAGAATGGGGACACCAAGAGTAGACTCGGTATTCTGGTATCGTCTCACCAATACTCAAGGAGAGATCTTGGAGTCACTGTGGAGAGTTCTCTGAAAACATCTGTTCAGTGTGCAGCGGCAGTCAAAAAAAAGTATCAGAGGGGGAGCCGTGTTAGTCTGAATCTGCAAAAGCGACGAGGAGTCCTCTGGCACCTTATAGACTAACCGAAGTGTAGGAGCATAAGCTTTCGTGGGCAAAGACCCACTTCGTCAGATGCATGTAGTCAAAAAAAAAAGCAAATAGAATGTTAGGAATCATTACAAAAGGGACAGAATTAGAAAGGAAATATCTTATTGCCTCGATTATAAAACCATGGTACGCCCACATCTTGAATGCTGCTTACAGATGTGGTGGTCTCATCTCAAAAAAGATATACTGGCATTGGAAAAGGTTCAGAAAAGGACAACTAAAATGATTAGGGGTTTGGAATGGGTCCCATGTGAGGAGAGATTAAAGAGGCTAGGAGTTTTCAGCTTAGAAAAGAGGAAACTAAAGGGGGATATGACAGAGGTCTTTAAAATCATGACTGGTGTGGAAAAAGTGAAGAAGGAAAAGTTATTTATTTGTTCCCATAATATAAGAACTAGGGATCACCAAATGAAATTAATAGGCAGCAGGTTCAAAACAAACCAAAGGAAGTTTTTCTTCACTCAGCACACAGTCAACCTGTGGAACTCCTTGCCAGAGGATGTGGTGAAGACTAGGACTTTAACAGGTTTCAGAAAAGAGCTAGATAGCCATTGATGGACCTAACCTTCATGAATCTGTTAGCCAGGATGGGTAGGAATGGTGTCCCTAGCCTCTGCTTGTCTGGAAATGGCCGACAGAAGAGGGATCATGTGATGATTACCGATGCATATGCAGAGGTTAAATCATCTCTTATCGCTTACTCACTATCCTCCTGTTTTGTGTCCGCATCGCCTTGGGAGCTCGTACCGAGTTGCTTATTCGCACTGACCCATAAAGCCTATTCAGAATCACTGCTTTCCTAGATACAGTTCCCCCGTCTGTGTGCCTGCCCTGCATTCCTTGTTCCTAGATGTATGATCTTGTATCTGGCTGTGTTAAAACATGTCTTGTTTGAAAGGTTATTTGTCTCTTCTGTGTCCGAAAGGAAGCAGACTGATGTATTTGTGTCCTATGTGAAGAATGAAGTATTTTCCAGTCTAATAGTATCCCAAGAGGTTGCTTTATAACATTTTAAAATCAGCAAGTTCAGGTCTGGTAAACTTGCACCTAAGAGTCCTAAAAGAGTTGGCCGAGGAGATCTCTGGCCCGCTGATGTTGATGTTAATAATAAATCTTGGAGTAATGGGATATTGTAGAAGATTGGAAGAGTGCCAATGTTGATGTCAATCCCAGACAAAATAATGGGAAAGCTGGTATGGAATTAAGAGTTAAAGGATGGGGATATAAACAATGCCAGTCAACATGGTTTTATGGAAAGTAGGTACTGTCAAAGGAACTTGATTAAATTCAGTGATAAGATTATAAGGCTGGTTGACACAGCTAACTCCATAGATTTAGACTTTTGTGAGGCATTTGACTTAGTTCTGTGTGACTTCAAGGACTAAACTCCTAGTGCAATGTAGTATCAGTAAATCACGATCTAAACAGATTGAGAACTGGCTGACAGGTCTCAAAACGTGGGAACAGTCAGTGGCTGGGGTGGTGGTGGGGCTCCCACGTGCATGCTTGTTGTGCATGGTGCGTAGCATTGGCGGGGGAGCAGTGAGGTGTGCCTGCTGAGGCGTGGCTCTTCCCTCGTGTTGGGGCCTGCTACAGCGTGGCACATGGAGGTCTCTACAGCACTCGGGTTTCCTTTTGTCACCCTCTCCCTGGAAAGGCTGTTGGGTTACGCTTTGAGCCATCTGTGTTACCTGCACAATCTAGGGCCCCCCACCCTGCAGCTCAACCCAAGTGTCCCGTGGGGTGGCTGTCACTCCTCCTCGCGGCTGCAGGGTAGCTGACTCCTGCACCAGAGCTGTCCCCAGCAGCCTGCCTCGCATCACCCTTTCCAGCAGCTCACTGGCACGACCAGGAGGTGAACGGTTTTTCCTAATGGTCTGAACGTGGCTTGTAAGCCGGGAGCCAGGTTGGGTTGGATACTAGGAGGACAGAGTCTGAGATAAGCCAGAGAGCAGGCTGAGAGTCCAGTGCTAGGAGGCAGGAAGGGCCAGGGCCAGGAGGCCCGTGTCTGAGAGAGGCACAGACCAAGAGAGGCCTCAGGAGGCGGCAGGGTCAGATACCGGGAGAGCGGAGTCAGGCAGCAGTAGCAGGTCACAGGGTGGCAGGTTGCAATGGACTAGCACCCAAGAACCCTGCAGACCAGGGTATGAGACCTGTGGTCCCTGAGATCCATGTTCCTTCTGCCTTGCCCACAGGACTCTCAGCAATAGCCTCCAGAACTCCAGCAAGGACCTGCATAATGGAACCAGCTGGGGGTGGGGGGACGGGGAGCCTGGCAGTGTCCTATGGGGAAAATGTCCGTCCCAGTGCTGATGTTCGTTGACATCCCTCAGTGCTCTGGAAGTAAAAGCACGGCTGAGAAGGTCGGTGGATGGGCAGAGGGGTGAATCGCGCGGCGGTCTGGGCAGTCGTACCGAGCCTCTAGCTCAGCTGGTACGACGGGCCCGCTCCAAGCCAACGCACAGAAATGGGGACCGGCGTTCTCGTGAGCAGCGACTGACCGGCGTGGTCGCAATGGGCAGGCAGTTGAATGCAAGCGCCCGGTGTGAGGCTCTGGACAGAAGGGCTAACGTGATCCTTGGACAGACCAACAAGGGGGTAATGAGAGCGGCAAAGTGCCCCCTCTGTGCAAGGAGATTGACCGGGGACGTAGTTACAGGCCTTCCCGGGGAAACCAGAGCGGTGGCCTGGACCCAGCAGGTGAGAGCCGCTGGAAAGGAACGGCGGCAGTGCTGGGCCATTTACAGCCGGGAAGTAGCTGGTGATGGCACACAGCTAATTCTAGGCTGTGCCAGGATTGGGGGGCAGGCTTGGTGCTGGCTGTCTGCTTAGGTTGTTGGAACGGGGTGCTTACTAGGGTGAGTTGAAAGCCGAAGGAGTCTTCGAGGGCAGGTCAGCTTTGGTGGCTTTCTGCCCTTGTGGGCTGGTGGGACATCTCTGACCGCTGCCTGGATGAGGTAGCGATCAGATCAGGTGGGTGGTGTGTTGGTAACGTCTAGAACATCCAGATCTGGGCGGAAGATGCAATCCAGCATGCGTCTGGCTGTGCGTGTGGGTCCAGGAATTCCCTGGAGAGTCCCATGGTTTGTGTGTGGGCTGTGAGAACATGTGCTGCTGTACCACTATCTCTGTGGGGTCTGAGCTCATTGAGGGCTAGGAACCTGGGGGCTTTTAGGACTATCCTGGCCAGCAGTTCTATCAGTTCCTCTTGGACGTTAGCAGAGTTTGCATCTGGATGTCTCTTCCTCACAAGGAGTCCTAGGTCTTACCCGCCCTTCGCCTTTACAGATCACAGGGATGCTCTTGAATGTTTTGTTTTTGGGGTGGAATGTCTTCTGTCTGAGGGTACGTCTAGGCTGTGGGGTTTTTTTGGGATACCAGAGGGATCCCGGAAAAACTCTGCTGTATCCAGGGAATGCGTTTGCTCGTCCGCTTTCTTTTGCAGAAGAGCAGACGCGCTCTTTTGGAAGCCCTGTCTTCCTCGTTCCACAAGGAAGAAGGGCTTTTCAGAAAGAGGAGGTTATTCTGAAATTTGGCCTAGTGTAGATGGGCCAAATTTAGGAAAAGCCTCTTCCAAAAAAAAAAAGGCGGAAAAAGTTACGGAAATTGCAGAACGCATTTTACGTACCTTTTTCTGAAAAAAAAGTTGTAGTGTAGACATAGCCTGAGAGGCTGGAAGGAAGCAGGGTGGCTACTCAGCTGCCTCTTTCATTTTTGGGGGGTTCATTCCAGGGTCTGTCCAGGCTTGTGCAAACAGAGCATCCTGCGGGGATAGCTGTGCTAGGGAGGTGGCACTGGAGCAGATCTCGGTGGTGTAAGCAAGAAGGGTGCTTCATCCAAGATGAACTGGCGGAAGTTGCAGGCTTGGTGAGGACGGGGGTCTTGCATTCGGCAGCAGAAGCTTCAGTCTGTCGTCGTCTTGATTTTGCTGATCAAGGAACTGGCTCTGAGTGTGTTTGGATTTATCCAAGTGTGCAGTGCTTGTGGGGGAGGACTCTTCAAACCAATGACAGTCAGGAGTTGGAAGGAAGGGAGGTATTTGGGTCACAGGCCTTGTGGTTGGTCTGTCTGTCTGCTGCAGTATCTGCTGTCGAGCTAAGCGCTTTCCGCTGGGTCGCCAGACAGTTTTCACCTAGAAGGCCCCATCTGAGGTCTTTCTAAAGGTAATAAAATCTTACAGGGAATCTGGATTTCTTCTCCGCAGTTAGAGATTTTATGGAGCTGCCTGGTGATCGATTTCTTTCAGAGAGTTGACATTTTAGGTGCGTGTTCTGCTATTTAGTAGAGTGCGAGAGTCTTTTTAGTTCTGTTTGTTTTTTATGAATGAGATGAGAGAATTATTTCTCCATTGGATAAATTAGGCTGGACCTGAGGAAGCAATTCTACTTGCAGAATATCCAAAATACTACCGTGCAACAAACTTATGCTGGCACTATTCAACAGAATGAAGCAATGCTCTGGATAATGAGTCCATCGTCTTGCAAAATTATCGTGACCATTTGCCTATCCAGGTACAAAATCTCCTTTTTATTACTTTGCTATAATTATGATTAAAATGGAAAACCTTAATGTCTATTTCGCTGGCAAATAAAACCCTTTAGATTGTACCCTGACCTACGCTATTGGAGGCTTTTTCTCCCAATTGAATTTTGTGCTTCTCTGCTCTTTAAGGGCACATCTACACGGCAGAGCTAAACTCGAAATAAGCTACGCAACTTTGAACTACGTTAATTGCTTATTTGAGTTGAAATGGCTTATTTCGACTTTTGGCGCTGTCTACACAGCAGTTACTTTGAGAGCATCTTCTTCTGACTTCCTTTACTCCTTGTATAATGAGGGTTACAGGAATCCGAGTAAGAACTCCTCCAGCTCAACGTTATTTCGACATTATGTTGAAATAACCATTTGTGTGTAGACACGGACTATGTTATTTTGGAATAACGTCAGTTATTCTGCAATAATGCTTCTGTGTAGACATAATCTAATAGGGCTACTTTGTGTCACCCGCTAGAGCGACCCCAGATAGTGTCAAAATAGAGCCTCAGGATGAAACAGGGACTTGGCCATCAGCAACAAACTGCATGAAAACTAAGTCAAGGGGCTGCATTCAAGGGGCTTTTCTCTTAGTGGAGGTGTAAATGAAAAGGTCCTGTGTAACGCTTTGGAAGATTTGGTGGCATAATTAGAAGACGCATGCTTGAGTCATAGAGCTTTCTGATCTCCTTGTGATGTGTTTTTCATGTCTAGCGTGAGGTTTTTCATAGATTTAGGGATGGAAAATAGATTTATCTGCATAGGTTTTATATGGTACTTACTGCAATCTGCTGAGTTTTCGCTTGCAATCAGCTCTGGTTTGTATCCGCTACAGACTGGATGTCCAAATGTTGCAACACGGGGACCTGCCCATCATTAGCATACGCATGTTGGTATTTACTATTTATAAGTGCACACAGACAGCCATTGTGTTTACTCCTGCTTCCAGAGATTAAGAGCAGTTGTTTGTAGGCCGAGGTGTGAGGGGATATGTACATCGCCAAAGGTAGAGTCACGTTAGCGTAGGCAAGCGAGCGTGAATCCACCTCGCACGAAACAACCGCGTGCAAGACAGCACAATGTGGGTTTCAGTGCAGGTAGGGACTGGAGATTCAGCTTGCTAGCATATGCACACCCTGAAACCCACGCTGGGCTGGCTTCACTGCTGCTGTTGCCCACCGTAGCCTAGTTCAAGCTAGCTGGGGTAAGCTAACCTGTGCGTAGCTCTTGGAGACACCGTGTAAAAGAAGTAACTCTCCTGAGGCCTGATTCTGATCTCTCTTGCTTTGGTGGAAATCAGGAGTAACTCTGACCGTGAGATCAGAATGAAGTCATTTCAGCCTGGTCTCCGCTGGGCTTTCCCCCTGAATCCCCTTCCCCCCTTTTTGCTCTGGGTCCAGTTCCACCACTGGTGGTAGCAATGGGAGAGGGGGGGCATGGTTACACAATGCCAGTGGGTCCTAACCAGTTGGTGGTCCAGGACCGTAGGGTTGCCAGATGGTTTAAAAAAAATAACGGACGAAAATTTGTCGAGCAAAAAAAGAAAAAAAAAAGGTTGGGGAGGATTCAGGAGGTCAGCCCCTTGAAATTGCCAGCTCTGGGCCACTGCCTGTTTCGCCTGCCCCTAAGACCGGCTCTGCCAGTGGGGGCCTGGCACTCAAATACAGCGTGTTCCTTCCATTGCTCCAGCTGGTAGCGCTGTGGTGGTGACGGCGATGGTAGGAAAATAAAAAGCTGTGGCAGTCACAGGCTTCTAGGCCCCCTCGACTTGAGTCTCAGGGTCATCGCCACCCGGGCCGGGGGCGTGCTGCGCCGCTGCCTGGGCCACGCAGTGGAGAATTCTGCTTTGCTGGTGCTTGCGCCACTCCCTTTGCACAGCGGTAAAGCACCCTCAGATGGCACGTTGAGCATCATGCAACGCTGGGATCTACTCTCAGCCTTGGACAAAACCGTTTGTGTTTCTGCTCAGACTACTGGTTTTCAGGCTCTGACACCAGTAGGCTGCACTCCAGTACCTCTAGGAAACGGCGTGCAGCCCAGACAAGAGTCACAGGTACACCAGCTCGTCGAAGTGTTCCATGCGGTGTGTTGGATGGTACCTGGGTGGACCTCCCCGGTGTTCCATTCCATAGAGCCAGGATGGAAAGAATGAGAGAGCCTGTGGCTGCTCTCAAGGAAGATGTGGGAGACAGTTTGCCAGGAATTCCAGGCTATGTCGCAATTAGGAGCTGTCGAGGAATCGCTGGACAAGTGGAAAGCTCCATCAGTGGCTATTAGCCAGGGTGGGCAGAGATGGTGTCCTTAGCCTGTGAGTGACAGGGAATGGATCAGTGTACTTGGCTAGGTGGACCTTTGGTCTGACCCAGTGTGACCGTTTTCGTGGCTAAACCCCAGGTGCTTGTGGGTGATCCCGGACCGTGGGTTCATGTGGTTCATGTATTGACAACTGGACGGGGTAAACCATTTCAAAATTTGATGTATACCCCATGCCCAGGGTCACCCACAGGGAGAGAGGGGCTAAGAATATGAAACTTTGAGCTGTCAAGAGGGCAAGTTTGATGGCTAACCCAACCTAGTGTTGACTGGCCACCCAGGAAGTCCCCTGTCTAGGGTATACTGTGGTGACGTGGAGGTGGCAGCTACGCACTCGGTGGACAAAGTATAAGCCCTAGTGGGCTCCCACAAAGAAGCAGGTCTGGTGGTTTTAGGGATTAGTGGGGTACTACCCATGATTCATCCTCAACTTCACTACCATGGCTGCCCACTTGGCAGACTTGGTATAATACACTGGGCCAAAAGCTGTGATGAGGAATTGCAAGACCAATTGGCCAGGGAAACAGCACTGTTCCACCCAGACAGTGTGAGGCCCTTTGTTCTCCAAACAGATATGTCCAGTCTCAGGCTTGGAGCCATGCAATCTCAAGAATTTGGAGGAGACGACCACCCTGTTAACTGTCTTAGCAGGAAGTTGTTCCCACGGGAGGTGGCACACTCGACATTGAGAAGGAGGCCCTGGCGAGGCTAGTCTAGACTCCGAGCCTCTTTCAAAAGAGAGCGTCTAGACGACAGCCAGTACTTTCGAAAAAGCGGCTCGCTTTTTCGAAAGAGAGCACCCAGGCAGTCTGGATGCTCTCTTTCGAAAAAGCCCAGTTTGCATTACATTTTCAAAAAAGGACGCTGAGCACTTCCAAAAAAAGGCGTTCTTCCTCGTAAAACGAGGTTTTCCGCGGTTGAAAAAACTGCTGCGTTCTTTCGATTTACTTTCGAAAGAACGCGGCAGCAGCCTAGATGCAGGGGAAGTTTTTTTGAAAAAAGGCCACTTTTTTTCCGAAAAAACCCTGTAGTATAGACACACCGGTGGTGAAATGGACCATTGATGCCCTAAGCTATTACTTGTGAGGGCAGCCCTTCCACCTAGTAACTGACCAGGCACCATTTCTCTGGCTAAGCTCATTGAAAGACCCTAATCCACATGTTATGCAGCGATACCTCCCACTGCAGCCTTACAGTTTTCAGGTGGGGCATTGGGCTGGCACAGAAATTTAAAAAAGGGCTTCTTTTCATGGGATGTTGGGGACACAACCTGGCCTCATGCCCCTGCACAGCAAGGTTGGAAGAGGAGGGTGTGTGGTGGGATGTACAGCCCTCACACTGGGTCTGAAGAGTGTAAAGGGCAGGACGGGGCCTAGGTAGCCCTGCCTCTCCAGCCATGTAGAACTCCGGAAGGGGAGGGCTGCTGGGACCCCCTACCAACTGCCCTATTACAGGAGGGACATAGGTCTCCTGCCTGCCTCGCCATGTCTCTGATTGTGAGCAGAACTGCGCTGCAATCCCTGCCCACAGGGAGGTGGCATCAAGGACCCTAAACAATAGGCCTCGTGGCCCAGTGAGGACTCCGGTACAGAGCTCCAACCCACTTCATCTACACTGGTGTGGGAGTGGGACTTAGAAGGAGCTCCTCTGGGATCCAGAAAAGGCATCAGCTGGGTAAGGCTGGGGCTGCCGGGAAGGGCAGAAACAAGGGAAGCTGCACCAGTCTTGAGGGTGCAGGTACAGGTGAGTGCTACAGAGAGAAAAACGGGTTGAAAGGGGTACATTCCTGCCCCAGGAGATGAACCTGCAGTAGCGTTGATGGAGCTACATGTTAAAAATAGTGTAGCCACCGCGGCACGAGGGGTTAGTACACACCTAGTGCCTTGGACTCGTGCATGCTAGCTCCGGTCACCATTCACGCTGCCCCGGCTGCGTTCTGGGTTTAGCACTCTCTATCTGAACGCACGCCTTCCAGCATCAGAGCAGACGTACCTACGGAGCGAGCGAGCGAGCGAGAGAGACTGAATTAAGGAGGGCTGAGGATTCCGGTTTCAAGGGGAGAGACAATGAATTAGGATTGGGGGTTGGAGGGCCGGAGAGCATAGGGATGGAATAAACTGCACCCCAGAAGGGGCGTGTTTTAATTACTGTTGGACTGTGATGCTGTGTTATTGAGAAGCCCAGGGAAGAAAAGGGAAACTGAGGCAAGGCACCACCGAGCCATTCCTGGATCCTGGGAGCCTCTTGGAAAGTGGCTGGCCCTGGTTGATCAGACCAGGATTCAATATCTGTATCGATGCTCTGGCAGAGAATACAAAAGCAGCTCTGAAAGTTTGCAAAAGACACAAAGGCTGCAGAGGTGGTAACTAGAGATGGGGCCAGGCACTTACGCAGGGTGCTTGCAAAATGGGGAGTGAACTACCATGAGTTTTAATACAGCCTACGGCAAGGTCCTACATCTAGGGACAGAGAATGCAGTTTAC